AAAATGGCAAGTAAAAGAGGTTTTCTTACATCAGAATTATTTTAGGATCCCTGTTCCAAAGTTTGTATTTTTCCTTCTCAGTTTCCATAGACTTATTTTTTTAAGTGAGCATCTTTGTGTTTGAACCCCTTTCTCATTCCACCATGTAATACTATAAGCAGGGAAAATTTCACTCTCTTTATTTAGGAAGTTGGTGCCAAACATTTTCCCCTTGGGCTTTGCCACTGTTCTACCTTGCCAGCTGAAGCTGTGACCTTAAGTTCAGGTCAGGTATTTCAGTCTCCCTTCTGACTCAAATCCATTTTTCTTCCCTGAACTCAAACACTTACTTGCTAAAGTCTTAATCTAATTAATATGCCAGCGAGAAGATTTATTGTTTTCTAATACTTTAGAGAACATATTTTTCATTCTCTTCATTAATGCAGCCTGATTGCCAAGGATTGAAGTTGTGAATTTTGATCACTTAAGTTGTCTGGATTGGCTTTCTATATGAAATTCACTGGATCAAATTGCTCAGCATTCTTCAACTTTATTGTGTGCTTTTTTTACTTTGTTTTTCTGAGAGTGAAATTGGACCATATAGACTAGAATAATGATAAATAGTCTTTGCATATCTAACCTTTTCTACTATGTGACAAACAATGTAATAAAGGAAAAAAAATCATCCAGTGTAAATTTCATTCAAGAAATATAAAGTTCAGCAAAAATATGCCTCGTGAATAAAATCTTTACAATGTAGGAAAGTCGTAAAATGTCCTTGGATAATCACCAGGAAGGATGCCAAAAAGCCAGCTTTTTAAAAAATTAATGACCTGAAAAGTCTTTACCAAGGATTAGGAAACTAATAACTTCACTGGCGTGTTATTGCTTCAGGAATTTATTAAGAGTTTGAGTCAAGAAGAAAAATTAGGTGAAATTTTCTTGCTTACATTGGTTGTCCCTGAATTATCAATTCTCTAGGAAATCTCTTTTGACTTTATCTGCAAAGACTTGGTTTAATTTAATCATGCTGTTGTAAATGACAGTATCCAGCTCTTCTTACTGTCTTTATCTCAATAAAAGGTAAACTCCTTGAGGGGGGAGATTGCTTACTTTTTGTTTTTGCATCCCATGTGTCACACAGAGAAGCATATAACCAAATTATTTACCATAGGCCTTAGAGACTTCGAGAGAATAGCGTCCACTTATTTGAAAGATCTCGCTTCGCTTCCCTTTCCCATTTTAGCTATTATTACATAGTTTCTGCTTTGGTCCCCATTTGATATGTTACCCAGTTGGTGTATCTGGTACTAGATTTCAGTGATAAGATGACTAGCAAAACCAGTGAATTGAGGTATATAATCTTGATAACTTAATCTCCACCCCCAAATCAGTGATCCCTTCTATGTTCCATGCTACTTTTTTCTCAATTTTATAATTGTGCCACACAATGTTGGTGAAGGACAGGCTTGTTGATAGATTTTTGAGAAAAGATTTTTGGGTAACTCAGTGAAGCAACGAGATTAAATGCTCACTATGTCATGTGCAGTGCTTGGCAATGAGGATACAATGAAGTGAATAAAAAAGTGAATATAACTGGCAAGGAGTTTATATTCTCAGTTATTCAGATAATTTACAAAATTTTCTGCTTTACTAACCAGGCTTGGCCTAAGTCTTAAAATGTTGGACATACTGTTAAATGCATAAAAGAGCAAAATAAAAAAAAATTACCCCCTCAGAATATTTTATTATCTGAATAAAGTTGTTCATCCTTTGTTTTTGAAGGAGACCAATGACATCACCAAAAGTTAAATGACATTAAGCTTTTCCCATCCTCAGTGTTTTAACCAGTGTTTTACAAAGCACAAGGATGGTGATGGCAAACGTTTTCATAGTTCAGGATATGTTCTGGTTAAGGAGAAAAATCTTATGTTAATATTTGAAAGAATATAAAAGGCAGGGTTCAATATGGCGGAAAAACCCAATTTGTACTTTATTTTAGCCAAAGCCTGTCAGAGACAATTTATTAATGTGGAAGAATTTCTGCTTGGAGAGAAGTTCAGAGTTTCCTCCACTAATCAGAATGTATTCTTTGTTCCAGACAGCTTTCTAATTTATATTTTATGATGCTCATGTAACAAAGGACAAAGTAAAATAGAGATACATAGTTAGTGAAAGTTTTTTTACTTACTAAACAAAACAATAGTATTGTCAATGCCAGCTCTTGGCATCCTTGGAGAAAATGTCTTTCAGAAACTAATCATCCCCTCTTTAACTATTCCCCTTTCAACCTAGCCAAACGTGAACAGAGAGATACCTCTCTAATTGAATTAAACAAAGTTTGGTCACCATAAACAAGACTGTCTCTTAATTTCAGGAAATTTTGGTTCATCTTTGAAACTGGTAACATAACAATTATTTAGAAAGTGCTTTAAGGTTTGCAAAGCACTTAATCTCTATTTTCACATTTGATCCTCATAAGTCATGTGCTTTTATTAGCTCCATTTTACAGATGAGAGAACTGAAGGTGAGAAGCATTATAAGCCTTGCCCAGGGTCATATAGCTAGCTTCTGATGCAGTATTAGGATGAAGGCTTCTTATTCAAAGAAGACTAAAGATGAAATCTTTGTTGCAAATGTGACCAAGGACACTGTCATGGTATTATTTCTTAATATCTGTAACAACTGAGACCATAATACTATGTGCTTCCATAAAATATAGGTATATATATACATATATGCATATATATGTATATGTGTGTGTATATATATAAAACTTTAAAACTATATCCTTTTACTACATGCTAAGTTTTAGACCTGATGGTGTAGCTTAGTATCTTTTACAGTTATTAAATATAATTTGATGGAATCACAGACTCAGAAGAGATGTTAGAGATGGGTTAAAACAAAGCCTTCATTTTACAGATGAGAAAACAGATCCAGAGAAGCTAACATTGATGGGGTTAGAGATTGGCTCACATACTGGCTTTGTGACCCTGGGCAGGCTATTTAACTTGATAGCACTCTAGCCAATTAGATGATGAGTTTTGGCCATATCCATTCACAAAATTTGTCTCCTAAAATGTCAAGAAATTGTGTTCTACAAAGATGGAGGAATGAATGAAAAGCATTTTCTATGTACAAAATCATGGGTAGTTGAAATAAATATAGAACCAATGACTAACTTGGTTAATGATTTCATTTTAGATTCCTTGACATGAAATTATCTATAACTACCAAGTATATTGTTAACCTAATTAAATTCTTCCTATTGATTCTTCATATGTTTCTTGTTTTAAAAATATGCCCTTTGCATTTTTATATCATAGTTATTTTCTAATATACCTAACCCCCAATGAACCTTTCCTTGAAATGAAGAAAAATAATTAAGCAGAACCAACAGAGACCACATTAAACAGGATTTTCTATCCCTTACATCCTCAGCCTCTCCAGTGAGAGGAATGAAATGTTTCCTTATTTTTATGATTAAGGCCAGTTGTTGCAATTACTATTGTCATCTTTTTGCAAAATATTCCAAATTGTAACCATCATGTAAATTTTTGTGTAAGTTGAATAAAAGCCCAGGTGGACTATGACTCTCAAATAAATACATGATGAGTTAACATTATTTTAGAATTCTTTGCACTAAAGCAGTTTACTAGATTTTGCCCCGTGATGTCCACATACCTTTCTTCCCAAGACATCTTTTACCTTAAAGAAATTTACTTACCCTTGGGTTAGTAGGCAGCTCTTAAATAGAAGCATAAAATTTTAGGGCTAGAAGACACCTTAAAAGTCACTGAATCTTACCCCTTCATTTTATAGTTGAAGCATCTGGGTCCCAATACAAACCAAAAATTTCCTAAGATCAACAGTTGAATACAATGTATAGTAACAGCAGCTCACCTCTATTATTGGCTTTCGGCTTTAATTCAACTCAGTAATTCAGTAAACATTTATGAAGCACCTACTATATGCCAGGCACTGTGCTAAGCCCTGGGGATACAAAAAGAGGCAAAAGACAATCCCTGCCCTCAAGGAGCCTGCAGTCTACAAAATACTTTCACCAAAACAACCCAGGACAGACCTTAAGGTTTTCAAATATAGCGCATGCATTATCTCATTCAATCTTCACAACTCTGTGAGTATCTCGATTTGTTATTTTCACCATTTTACAGATGATGAAACTAAGGCTTAGTTTGTACCTGGGCTCTTAGTAAGTGTCTGAAATGGGTTTTTCTGACTTAAAGCTACATCTCCCGTCTAGGAAGTACAATGTGATTATCACCTCTTAATAGATTAAAAAGTTAGAGCTCTGAGAGATTAAGTGATTTATCTAAGGTCTGCCACTATTAAGTAGCAAAACCAGGACTTAACTATGTCTGTATGCTGGATTTAGTATCAGAGGACCTGGGTTTAAATCTTGGCCCTAACACTTAATACCTTGTGTGTGACTTTGGACACCCAGACATTGACTTCTTTGACCCTCAGTTTCCTTCTCAATAGAATGAAGGGGGTAGATGAAATGACCTCTAAGGTCCCTTCTAGATCTTGACTTCCATTTTAATGCTCTTTCTACCATATTGAAACAATATATAGAAAATCACCTCAACGAGAGAGAATGAATGTCCATGTATTCAAAACTGATTGAATACCTGCAGTGTGCCGGGCAGTACACTAGGTGCTGGTGATTCCAAGGCAAATCAGAAACAGTGCCTGCCCTCAAGGAGCTTGTGTTCCATTTTTATAGGGCAAGACCTCTGTTAAGTGTATTAATGCTGAGCACAACACAACAATGCTAAGCAACCTAGGGGCAATCAAAAACATTAAATAATAGTTCTGAAGAGAGAAAAATTGATGTTAGTAGTGACATTACTGTACAGTTTTAGACCAGCTGACTGCAGTGTTGTAGTGATCTTGGCAAGGGGTAAGTGCTAGGTATGTCAGCTCTCTGTGTGGAGGCATTTACTTAGTTGGCATGACAACTGAGTGTTGAAATGCCTCCTTCTTTTCTTCAACAGCTGGCCAAATTCCGAAGTCTCCTGTACACTGCAGAGGGTGAGGCAGCTGCCTTCTTGTTGAGCAACTACCGTCCACCACAACCGCTGAAGGGCCGAAAAGTGAGAGCTTCATTCCGCTAAAAGTTTCCCCTGAGAACAGCTGGAACAGATGTAATTATGGAAGGACCTTCCGTTTAAATTCATCTGGAGTGCTTTGCTTGAAACTTAGTTAATGGGCACAACTGTTTCATGACTGGGCAGAAGCCCTGAATTTATTCATGACAAAAGAGCACTTCTCTCAATCTTTAAGGCAAAATATAATTTGGCCAGCCCAGATTGGCGTGTTAGCACTCATGCATTAAATGTTGTTTGTCTTGTCTCAGACTGTGAAATATCTTCATGTCCATTGGTGAGAAAGTATCCCAGACAGGGAAGCCAAATTGCTCACTTCTATTAAGGAATTTCTAGCTAAAAACTTAATGTCATGTCTTTAATGTTAGGATTTTACTAGCCCTAAGTATTTTAATTTGTAACCTGTGGGTGCTATATCCTTTTAAAATAAACCCTTTGTCTCAATTGCTGATTTAAATATTTAGAATCTTTTTTTTATTTTTAAGGATAATATATTAGTCATTGAGGAACATGGACCAAACTATATTAAATGAATGTGTCTGAGAGAGTTAGTCTGGATTGGTGAATATAGAGCTTCCATCTAATCAGGAGGGCCTGGGTTCGAGTGCTGTCTCTAACCCTGGGCAAGTCATTTAACCTCTCAATGCCTCAGATTATTCTCTATACATACTGTGAGGTGCAGAACAGTTGCCATTTAGTGGAGGGAATTCTATGGAGGGATGAAATCCAGACCAAATAAAATAAATCAAAAAGCCCAGAGGCCAACAATAACTAATAAAATATATGACAAAGTAGTCTACTAATTATATTATAAAGAATAAATCGTGCTTGACACTATATTTGGCTTGTGCCATAAAAAACCACATCTGTATTTGCTCATTTAGAAACAAACATTAGAAATTTAAACAGTGTGTGGGTTTCTCCATGATCTTATAAAGTGACTTTCATAGGCCTTATAATATTTTACAGGCAGAACTGCTCCTAGAGTGTGGCAATAAAAGTAAGGACCCATTGGCTCTAGGCTTTCTCTCTCCCAATAAGTAACATACTTTGTTGGCTATTGGGCAATGGCTCAAGGAGTTAATCCTATTTCAGAGAAAGGGTGAGGGTGGCAGTAGGAAAAGAACTGACTGCACAGATTTCTTAGCTGGTGCTAAAATTACCTGAAATTCATGTGTACACTCTATCCACAAATTTTGGGGTACAGCCACCCCACTCCACTTCCACACTTGCCCTTTGGTGAGCAATTGTTATGGTCTCCTCCTGGCTTCTTTAGATGTTTATTTTAACTTGATGTAACTTGGTATTAAAAGGCTCCTCTGAGTCCACCCCAATTCGCTTTCACTATTAAATGAATTAAATGACACTAACTAGAATATTTAGCTGTCTCCAAATGGCTATAATTCATTTTCTTCGTTGTCTTTTGGAGGAAGTGTTGATTCAGTAGGATTGTGTTTCTTTGATTTTGCAAATTTGTTTAATGTTTTGCTCTTTCTTTGAAAATGGGTTTTAACATGTGAATTTGTTTTGGAATATTTTCTGAGTACCAGGTACAACTTGGTGTTAAAATATGTAATTGTAACATTGTGTCTCATATTTTAGTTCAATTTAATGTGAAATTCTTTGATAATTAGTCTTGAGACTAATATACTAAGAGTTAATTTAATGTTAAAAAAACCCAAAACCTCAGGTCAAATGTCCTCATAGTATAGTTTTAAAAAAGGGAATTCTGATTAAATTCTGATTAATTAAGCTTGTGTACATGCTTTTAATTTATAATTATTCTAAAAAACTACCTGTGTTGAAGAAAGAAACCAATTTGAAAAAGTTAACTGTGAAGTGCTATAGTTGGTGAAATAGCCTTGTTTTCCTAAGAAAATCTAGGAATACACATCAGGAGTATATATAAGAATATAACTCTAATTGTGGCGTTTATGGATTGCTTTTTCAGTATCATATGTTTTTCTACTGCAGTAGTGGAAGTGCAGTACATCTGTACCATGTTACAAATTATATGTTACGTAACTCTAAAAAAAAAAAACCACCCAGAACTGATCTCTCTGAGATTTGGCAGTTATACTATCTTTATCTCCTATAAACAACAACAAAAAAATTGAGTCAGAACTAACCAAATAAGCAGAAATGATCCATTGTTTTAGCCACATTTTTATATTGTCATAGCTATCCTTTACATTCTACTGAATTTATTTATTGAATGTTATCTATTGGTCACTTTGTCAAGATTTTGGCACTTTAATTTCAATTCTAACATGAAATCTAATGTTTAAAAAAGCTGAAACTATTAGCTAAGTGGTCAAAGGTTACTGATGCGTGGTATAATGATAGCTAGCTAGCATTTATGTAAATGAAAAGCACTTTACACCTTCAATCTCATTTGATTCTCCCAACAACCCTGGGAAGTAAATGGTCATGTTATACCCATTTTACAGATGAGGAAACCGAGGCGAAGAGAGATTAAATGACTTGCCCAGGATCAACACAAGTAAATGCCAAGCCCAATGCTATCCATTGTGCCACCTAGCAGCTTGAGATACTGTCTAGAGTTGTATTTTTAGAGATGGTTTCTGTCCTTATATATGCTGCCTTTTAAAAATTTGTTTCCTCTGTCATAAAGCAATTAAATATGAGGCTTTGGAGAAACTGACAATTTTGTTTTTGTTTTTGTTTTTCTTTTACTATTTGGGATTGTTCCATTCCTGTAACCATGGAGTGGAATGCTTTCTATCTGCCAGGGTAGGTAGGAATGAACCTACCTGGGAAGGGCTACAAAGGACTACAGTGGAGTGATTTCAAGGGCAGAAAAGCTCTCCCTAACTGGTATAATTTCTCCCTGGTTGTCAATGCCAAAAATTCCAGTTTAAGAATTTGGAAGTTTTGTTCTCTTTTGAAATGTAGATCCTTCTGAGAGAGAACTCTTTATGTCCATCTAAGTATATACTTATTAAAAGCCCCCTGGTGTAATTTAATGAGTGCTGGTCTTGGAAAAGAGGAAGACTTGTATTCAAATCTTACCTTTGAGACTTAACTAGCTCTATGATCATGGTCGTGTCACGGAAGTCTCCCTGAGCCTCAATTTCTTTTATCCATAAAACTGGAATTATATTATTTGTAGTACCTACTTGAGAACTATTGTGAAGACCAAATGAAAAAATGCACATGAAGTGCTTTGCAGACCTTAACATGCTTCGTAAATATCAGGTATTATTATTTCATGGGAATAAGGTTTACACTCAAGCATTGGTTTTGATACTGTGGCACATGCTCTGTATTTATTTTCCTAATGACCACTTGCGTGGCACATTGTGCCAATGACCACAGTGCAGGCTACATCCCCATAGCTTGCTCTGACTCATCTCCCATCAGGGCTCTAGGGACTCCCCCCCACCCCAGGAGTTTTGGGAGTGGTTTTTCTAATGCTATAGCAAACCCCCACCTAGTTAAATTATTAAAACTGATTAGTTTTCACAAAAGGATATTTACTGAAAAAATATAGCAAGAATTCCCAGACCAGTCACATTCTACTCTCTAAAATCCTGGTCCCTGGGAAGAGAGGTCTCAGACTTAAAGTACGAGCTTGCTTGCAGACATTTGTCTTATCAAGTTCACCCCAGGTGTTACACAGCCTCTGGACAAGCCATTTCCTTACCTGCAGAACCTGGTGTCTTGGCTTCTGAATTCACTGCTGGTCTAGATCATGCAGGTCTAAATCATGCAGGCTACTCCTAGGACCTCTTTTCCCCTCCCTTCCTCTCCCCTCCCTTTCCTTTCCCCTCCTCTCCTCTCCTTTCCCCTCCTCTTCTCTCCTCTCCTCTCCTCTCCTCTCCTCTCCTCTCCTCTCCTCTCCTCTCCTCTCCTCTCCTCTCCTCTCCTCTCCTCTCCTCTCCTCTCCTCTCCTCTCCTCTCTTCTCCTCTCTCCTCTCCTCTCATCTCTTCTTCCCTCTTTCTCTTTTCTCTGTTCTCTCTCCAAATGCCACCAAAGTGGAAGACTTGAAAGGTTAAAGGCAGCTAAATGGAGCAGTGGATAGTGCTGGTCCTGGATTCAGGAAGACCTGAGTTCAAAGCCAACCTTAGATTACCTGTGTGACCTTGGGCTCAAGTCACTTAACCTGTTTGCCTCAGTTTCATCATCTGCAAATTGGGAATAATAATAGCACCTATCTCCCAGAGTTGTTGTAAGGATCAAACAAGAAAATTGTAAAGCATTTTACACAGTCCCTGGCACACACTAAGTTCAGTATAAATGTTAGCTGTTATGAAACAAATGACCCACCTCGGTTAAATTTAAGCCTGTTGCTAGCTGCTGGGGATACAAAGACCAAAAAAGGGAAGAAATTCCTCACTTCAAGCGGCATTTTCACATCATTGAACCTAAAAAATAAGCTGCTGTTTCATGGTACACCTGGTAGACAGGTTCCATGAGAAGAAGATGAGATCTGCTGGCATACATAATGAATAATGCTATTGAGCCTGTACAGATATGCATAGTAAAAGCAAAATAAATTACCGCGTTAGCTATGCTCCGAAAAGAAAAGAAAATATACTTCAGTCTGTACTCTGAGTCCATCACCTTTCTATCTGGAGATGGATGGCATGATTCATTGTGAGCCTTTTGCTTTTGTGATTGGTGCTTGTGTTGATCAGAGTTACTAGATCTTTCAAAGTGACTTATCTTTACAATATTGTTATAATTGTGCATATTCTCCTGGTTCTGCTCTTTTGACTTTTTATGAGTTCATACAAATCTGACCAGATTTTTCTGAAACCATTCCCTTTATTATTTCTTGTAGCACAAGTGTTCCATCACTTTTATATACCGTAATTTGTTCAGCTATTCCTCAATCTATGGGCACTACTTTATCTTTCAATTCTTTGCCACAATGAAGAGTTGCTATATATTTTTTGTACTTATGTGTGTTTTTCTTTTTTTCTTTGATCTTTGGGGATATAGACCTACCACTGTTTTCACTCATTTAAAGGTTATACACAGTTCAGTAGCTTTTTTTTTTTGTGAGGCAATTGGGATTAAGTGACTTGCCAGAGTCACACAGCTAGTGAGTGTTATGTGTCTGAGGCCAGATTTGAACTCAGGTCCTCCTGATTCTAGGGTTGGTGCTCTATCCACAGTTTAATAGCTTTTTAGGTATGATTCCAAAATGTTTTCCAGAATGGCTGGACCAGTTCATAGTTCCACCACTGGTGTGTTAAAAAATGTTTTCCCATAGCCCCTCCAACATTTATCAATTCCTTTTTTTTTTCCCAATTTGGCCAATCTAAAGGGTATGAGGTGGTGCCTCAAAATTGTTTTAATTTGCATTTTTCTAGTTATTAGTAATTCAGAGAATTTTTTCAGATGGCTATGTATAGCTTGGATATCTTTATCTGAAAACTGCCTATTCACATCCTTTGACCATTTATGAATTGGGAAATGGCTCTTATTCTTATTAATTTGAATCAGTTCCCGATATATATATATATATATGTATATATATTAGAAATTAGACCTTTGTCAGAGAAACATGCTGCAAAATTTCCCCCTAATTTCATGCTTCTCCTCTAATTACAGTCGCTTGGTTTTGTTTGTGCAAAAACTTTAATGTTATGTAATCGAATTTGTCCATTTTACTTCCTGTGAACCTCTTAATTTTTTGTTTGATCATGAATTCTTTCCTTACCCATAGATCTGACGGGTAATTTCTTCCATGCTCCTCCAATTTGCTTATGATGTTACCTTTTATGTCAAATAAGCACTTGGAGCTTATTTTAGTGTATAGACTATTTTTCAGTTTTCCCAGCAAATTTTGCCTAATGTTGGGTTCTTGCCCCAATAGCTGGGATCTTTGGATTTATCAGATAACTGGTTACTGTGTTAATTTACTTCTGTGTATTGTGTAACTAGTACACTGATCAACCTCTCTATTTCATTTCTTGTTGTTCAGTTGTTTTGGTCATGCCTGAAGTTTTTTGTTTTTTGTTGTTTTTTTTTTTTTGTCAGTATCTTGGCAGAGATACTGAAATAGTTTGTCATTTTCTTCTCCAGCTCATTTTACAGATGAGGAAACTGAAGCAAACAGGGTTAAGTGACTTGCCTGAGGTCACACAGCTAGTAAGTGTCTGAAGTCAGATTTGAACTCAGGAAGATGAGTCTTTCTAACATCAGGCCTGGCACTCTATCCAGTTAACCACTTAGCTGCCCCCTCTATTTCATACCCAGTACCAAAATTATTTTGATAATTTCAGCTTTGCTGTATAATTTGAGATGTGGTACAGCTAGGCTTCCTTCCTTCCCGCTTGCTTTCATTAATTCTTTGACATTTTATTCCTCCAGATGAATTTGTTATTAATTTTTCTAGCTTGATAATATAATCCTTTGGTAGTTTTATTAGTTTAATGCTGAATAAGTAAATTAAACAGCATTTTCAGTTTTAATCATATTAACTCATCCTTACCCATGAGCAATTAATATTTATCCAATTATTTATATCTGTCTTTGTGAAAAGAGTATTTTGTAATTGTGTTCATATGTGGGTTCATGTGTGTGCCTTGGTAGGTAGACTCCCAAATATTTTATATAGTTTATAGTGAATTTCAATGGAATTTCTCTATCTTTTCCAAGAAGCATTACCTGAACCTCGCTATTTCGTGAGCACTGTTCAGCATTGCTAGAGAAGATGACAGGGATACGAGACATAGTTCTCTTACTCAAGGACCATATGACATTTACTTGGGAAAAATAAGACTATCCTACATAAAACGATTGGGGAATAGTGTGAGGTACAGACTTGCAATACTGCAGGAGCTCAGGGAAGGGAGAGATAGCAAGATAGGCTGGAATATTTAGGGAGTGGTTATTAGGACTTGAAGGAGGAACAGGGTTTGAGGAGGAAAAGCCAAAGTAGATAACAGGAAGGAGAACAAAAGGAGCAAAGAGAGGGAAGGAAGGCATTAATTATATCATTTTCAATTAAGAGCAAGGCTTAGTAGGGAGGAATTAGGTTGAATAGGTTGGGTGAGACCAAACTATGGATTTCCTGGAAAAGTGAGAAATCTGTATTTAATTTGGCAGGCAATAAAGAACAGTCACAAGTTTTTGAGCAGTGAAGTATGTGACAGGAGGAACATGGTACTTAAGATTAGTCAGGTAACCCCTGGAATGGAAGAAGGCTGAACTGGAGAGTCAGCTCTCTGCCAATGGAAAAATACATTTTTCATAAAGTGTTAATGTTTGTTAATGGCTTAGTATATTATCTCTCCCAAGTGACACTTGAGATTGTTATTAGAGCTTAGCTTGCATATTTACCCTGAGTGCTATGAGATACTACATGCTGGGTTAGTGGCTGCTACAACTTCCTTTGCCTCTTGGCTGTTGCCTTGGCTTTGGATTTTCTAAATCCAAATCCTGTCCCTATCCCTCTTGGCTTCTTGGTGCCTCACCAAGCCCACTCCCACTTCCATTTCTCACTTGGCCCAGGGATAGTCCAGTGTATGTGTCGAATAGGTAGAACTAGTATTATCAAGGGTATAGAGAAGGCCAGTCCCTTGTTCCTTATTTCCCTCATGGCCACTCCTGCAGCCCAAGTCTTCTGGAGGTTTTTTTTCCAGCATCCCTAGCCTGTGACCCATATCCTTACCCTTTCCTTAACCCTCTAAATTGGGTTTTAGGGTGAGGCAGACCACCTTTCTGGCCATCTCAGTCCTACCTCCCTACTCCCATAAAGTAATTCACTCCAAGAGGGAAAACCAGCCTTTCTTATTTGCAATTTGTTTTCTGTAAAAGCTCTGTTCATTGGAGGGAATGATGCCTACCTACTAAGAGATCTATTAGTGCTAGAGTCCCAAAAACTCTTGCTGGTGGCTTTAGTCAGCAATAGAAATTCTAACCTACAACCAGGCCTTCAGATTCCTGGAAGGTCTGGCCCAGGAAAGATTATATAAGTGCAGCATTAAAAAAATGGTTGCTGAACTCAAGGGCTGGCTCTATGCCTAACCTCTTTCTCTAAGGTTCCCATCTGCTCCACATTCAGGCATGTAGTCCTGATGACAACTGGCCTCTAATGAGAGGAGGACGAGGGTCCTTTTCTGACACTCTTCACCTGTTTAGACTGCAGCCCCAGCACTTTGGGGACAAATTATTTAAAGTTTAGGTTTTGGTTCATATCTATATCTCCCCAAAAAGCAGAGTAGAAAGGTAATCAACATATAATTTAAATCAAATATGGGACAGGTTTTCCACAGTGAAAAGAAATGCTAGAAGACATGAAAGACTCTTGTCATGCATTGACAGCACAAGAAGGCTGAGGCTTAAACCCATGAGTACCAAAGCACTGACTGTTGGTAATACATTTTACATTCACCTCAGCTCTTCCCTGTTCTCACAACTCCCAGTCCATGTCTTCTGGTCAAACAGAGCAGGGCCTTGGTGTCTTCCTCTTGTAGGTTGTCATTCTCCCCAGTGATGAAGTTGTTTTTGCTGCTTGTCAGCTTCTTTCCAGTGACCCAGGACCTTTGGCTCTCTAACTCACAAGATTGTCTTCAAACTCAGACATGTCCACCTTGAGTTTGATGATTGGTCACCTTCTGAGGAAAGGAAATATAAAGTGAAAAAAGCAGTGAGAGTACCAGGCATAGTTCAGCTAGTAACATTCTCTTACTGCTGTTGCCACATGAGGGCAGTTCCCATAATAAAGTTAGGGGACTGGGGGGAGGGAAGGCCACCTCATCCCCATCCACAAATTCCTCAGGAGTCTCAGTTATATGATGCCACCTGAGTGGTTGAAAGAAAAGAGCCAGTAGGAAGCTGTATCTCCTTTTAGCAGATACAACAACCACCCCACTGTTGTCGTTGTGGGAGAGGGGAGGAACAAGGACTCTTAGGGTTTTCTTCATTATACCAAAGCACAAGACCTTGCAACACTGGGCCACTATATTCTCAGTTGTTGTTGTTCAGTCGTTTTTCAGTTGTATCCAATTCTTTGTGTCCCCATTTGGGGTTTTCTAGGCAAAGATACTAAAGTGGTCTGCCATCTTCTTCTTCAGCTCATTTTACAGATGAGGAAACTGAGGCAAACAGGGTTAGGTAACTTGCCCAGGGTCACACAGCTGGTAAGTGTCTGAGGCCAGATTTGAACTCATGAAGATGAGTCTGCCTGACCTCAGGCCTGGCGCTACATCCACTGTGCCTTCTCTAGAGGCCTGCCTAAGTGCTAGTCGCTCACCATGTCCCTGGAGTCCCTGGAAGTTTACAGGGGAACTCTAGGTACATGCTTTCTAGGATGGCTCCTATAAGCCAATTCAACCTCTCCTACACAATTATCATTCAGAGGCATAACAGATCTTTTTCAGACTCCTCAGATTACAGTTTATAGGGATCTATTGTCTCTATTCCACCTACTTGTAAGCCCAGCCCTTCAGTGTATACCAAGTGAGCTGTCATGGACCAGAATAAGTGTGACTTTACTACCACAGGGCAGCTTGGGGAATGCTGGCTGATCAAGCATGGGGGAAGCCTTCCTGGAGACTGCTGATCTTAAAGCAACAGAAAGGAAGACAAAAACCAGCATGTCTGATAAGGGAGATCTGAAGGTCACCAACAAGGTTCTGAACTGAGGAATACAAATATGGGGGGGGTGTTGCAAAGGGGATTTGCGGGTTGGGACTGAGTCAGGGTGTCTACTGTAAGGGATCTTGTCAGTAGAAAATGGGAACCTCAGCCAATCCAATCACCAGTCAATTCTCTCACAGTAGGGTTCAGACTGGCAATTTAAGTGACTTCATGCATGTGCACAGTTACTTTCATGTGTAGTGGCTCCCTTTTTCTCTGCTCCACCTCACTGGTGCTGCCCAAATCCTTTGCATTTACTGGCAGTTGGAGGGGGATATAAGCCACAGAAAGTCTAACAACACACTACTAGGCCTACTTTCTAGGGGTGGCAGGCTCTGAGATGCTTGTCTCCTGCTCTACAGAAGCACAAAAAGTCCTGGTTTCCTTTTAGGTCAGCCAACAAATGCTTTCATTGCCCTGTGGAGGAATCCAATCCTTCTGGGAAGTTAACCTTATCCCCATGCGGTATATCACCTGTCTCAGGGCAGCAACGTGAATATTTCAGTGAAGTATGGTGACTTTTTGGACAACTAAAATTGCTTTCTTTGCTCTTTTGGTGAAGTGATGGGCAAATGATGACTTTTCCTCCAGTTGTTATGTGAGACTCTAGAAGACATTAGGGAGAAGGATGGAGATAACATACAATTGATATGGTATATGCATCAATAGCTTTGACTTCATGTTCCATTTACAATTAGGTTCGTTCTGAGATGAGCGTAGCAGCTGGAGGGATGGACTTCAATTCAGGAAAACTCAGTTTTAAATTGAGAGAAATGATTATTAGTGACCAATGATTTGGGGAGATCCAGAGTTTCCCGTTTTTCTAAAGTTCTGATTTTTAAAAGTTCAGTCTCTTGAAGGACCTTGCTGATAATGATATTGGACTAACTTTCTTGTTAGTGGGGTATCCATAGTGCTCTGCTCAGGCTTGAGTGGGAAATCAATTCTTTGAATAGATTTCCCAAGGCTGGGGGTGGTCTGGGTATAGACATAGTCTCTCTGTCCAAAGGTGACATGATGTCACACTCAGCGCCTCATGGTAACATTCTTTCTCTCATTAATCATCAGCCAGAGTCGATTGCTACTCTTCTTCCAAAAGAACATATAAACCCTAAGCCTGCCACCATGATTGCCTTTGGTCTAAAAGAGATGGCCAAATGGCCATCCCTTTATTAATAAATGTTCTGGCTTTATTAATAAAATGATTAAATTACCCACAAACTGTCTCTAGAGCCTTTTTTAATTACCACAAAATTCTGCTTCCAGTCCTTACTTAGCTGTGTAAACATGGGCTGGTTACTCAGCCTTTTGGATCTTCAGTTTCATCATTGGTAAAAAAAAAAAAAAGGATAATAATACCTGTATCTCACAGGATTATTGGGAAGTTTAAATGAGATATTTCAAGTGCTTGCTAAGCCTTAATGTGCTTTGTGAATGTCAATTATAATTATAGAAATAATTATTATTCTGATAACAATTATAATTAATACTAGAGTTACCATATAAATGGTTGGACTAAGCAGTGGCCAGCTTCCCTAAACTAATTTGGAGTGTGTATGCAATTGTGGTTGGATGTTGAATTTTCTTTTAATTCTTTCTCTGCTTCTTTTCTTTTTTTTTTTTTTTTGCTTATTTCCTTTTGCCAGATTTTCTGCTCATCATTTGCAGGTGCTGGAGTTGTTTCCAATTGCTTTATATTCCCAATTTGACATCATCTTGGAAACTATCATTTTTTTTTCTGGATCTTCCAGTTGTTCTTCCTGTATACATGATTGGCTATCAATAATATTTTCTTCTTCTGTCTTTGGTAACTCTCACCTTCACTCAGATAAGCACACCCATGCTTTATGCATTCACATTTACTCATTTGATTCTTCCTAATTAAAAGCCTTTTTAACTTGATGAATCCAGCTTGCATATTGACAGCTATAGTACTCACAGCATGGTTTTGATTAGAATGATAATAAGCAATCACTGTTTTGCTTGGAATTGCAATTAATGACTCCTTCTGTGTGCTGTCACACTGTTTCTAAAATCTATGTATCACAGTGGTTGCATAGGGCTATTGCACAGCAAGGTGGCAGTGTGGATAGAGCGCTGGGACTGGAATCAGGAAGTTTTGAATTCTAGTCTTGCCTCAGATACTTACCAGCCACATGATCCTAGGCAAGTCACTTAACCTCTGTCTGCCTCAGTTTCCTCATCTGTAAAATGGTAATAATAGCACTTACTTCCTGGTGTTTCAATAATCAAATGAGATCTCCTCTGAGATAATATTTATAAAGTGCTTGGCACAGAGTCTACCATATAGTAGGTACTTAATAGATGCATTCTAGGATGTGGCAAACTTGGCTTTTTAGTGGTTCACAGTAGGCTCTTTTCCTGCTGCTGCTCAAGGTACCCATGGCCAAACAGGCCAATCTTTATTCCCTCCGAGCTGTGCTTCTGACTTGTCTTAAACTTCAATACCATGCCCTGGCCCAGGTTCCTTTATCCCCTATCTCCTTTTCCATCATGCTGCTTTTCAGTTGCTTTTTGTTGTCTTCCTTCATTAGAATGTAAACTCCTTGAAGGCAGGGATTTACTTTTTGCTTGTATTTATGTGCCAAGTGCTAGCATGGTGGGTGATTCACAAGAAGTGTTTTAATACTTGTTGCCTACTATTATGGGTTCGTGACCATTCTCATCCATCTGCCTCTGTTTTGGTGGCAGGAGGACCTTGGAAAGGCCTGATTTCTTTCTTCCTTCCTTCCTTCCTTCCTTCCTTCCTTCCTTCCTTCCTTCCTTCCTTCTTTCTTTCTTTCTTTCTTTCTTGCAATTGGGGTTAAGTGACTTGCCCAGGGTCACACAGCTAGTAAGTATCAAGTGTTTGGTCTGAGGTCGGATTTGAACTCAGGTCCTCCTGACTTCAGGGCTGGTGCTCTATCCACTACGCCACCTAGCTGCCCCTCAGCCAGATAAGTATTGAGGAGTCAAACCTGAATATGTCTTGTCTACACCTCTTAGACTGGCCTGAAAGCCAAAATTAGTTGATGGCCCCTTTTACAGAAGTTATTCTGATGCAGGTAGTATTAGCAGATCTTGAAGTATCTTCTGCCTTGATGTATTTCGATTGTGGAAAAATCACCTGTATTTAAAAAAAAATGAGATAGTTCAGTGAGAATTCCTGCCATTCCAAATGTGAAGAAATTGTACAAGTTATAATGAAAGGGGACTCACCAGGATGGTGGTCAAAGGAAAGGATCCCTATCCTAGTCCCTGCCAGCTTACTGCCTGAAGACTCCTCCCCTTTCCCTTTCCCCACCACCTGGCTGTCTTCCCCCACCCCTACTCTCCCCTAGGTCTCAGCTAGTCCTGTGGATAAGTTTCAAATCTGCACTACCAGGAAAGAAAAAGAATTTACTTTTAAAGATACACAATTTGACTCCTTCTCATTCTCTGACAGGACGCTTCCCAAGAATCCATTCTAGAATGTATTATTTTCACACGTACTCTGTTCAAGGAAATAGACTAATCCAGCAACTCTGAGTTTCCCTCTCGTTGCAAAGGTGCTGCACCTAATCACAATGACAGTAATCCTTTTCATTTAAAAAATGCTTTAGAGTTTACAAAATATTTTCAAAAAATACTATAAGGAAGGCAGGGCAGAAATCATTAGTCTCTTTTGACAGATGGGGAAAGTACAGGTCAAAGAGATTAGCTTGTTAACATGTCTGAGGTCATGTCTAATAAGTGGGAGGGTGAAGAGGAGAATCAAGGTCATTTATTTCCCAATCCATTAGTCTTCCATCATTTTCGTTCTTCTTGTTGAGTCAGGTGTGACTCCATTTGGAGTTCTCTTGGCAAAGATACTAAAGTGATTCACCATTTCCTTCTCCAGCTTGTTTCACAAATGAAGAACTGAGGCAAACAGGGGTAAGTAACTTGCCCAGGGTCACACAGATAGTATGTATCTGAGGCCAGATTTGAACTCGGGAAGACTCATCTTCCTGAATCTAGGCCCAGCACTCTATGCACTGTGCCACCTAATTGCCCATGTCTTCCGCTGTGCCAAAATTATAAAGATTTCAGAAGTTGTAGGTATGTAGCCTCATATTTGACGTGGCCTAAAAATGTCAATCAAACAAGTACTTCCTAACCAGGCACTGTTCTAGGTGCTGGGGATACAAGTACAAAGAATGAAATGATCCCTACTTGCAGGGAGCTTACATTCTCATGGGGAAGACAAATGCATATAAATATATGTATGGAGTAAAGATATATAGTAAATAAATACAAATATATGTAAAGTAATTAACTACAACATAGTTTGGGAGGAAGGGCACTAATAGTTGATGGTGCCTGAGCTGCATTTTAGAGGAAGAGAGGGATGCAATGAAGCAGTGCCTTCCAATCGTGGGGGACAACAACCTTCAGTTTCACAGAATCTTATAGTTAGAAGAGACCACATGTGCCTTCTAATCCAACCTATTCCTGCACAGGAATCTCTATTACAACATACTTGACAAGTGGTCATTCAGATTTTTTTTTTAAGATTTCTAGGGATAGGGATAGGGCAACTAGATGGTGCAGTGGATAGAGCACCAGGCCTGGAGTTGGAAAGACTCATCTTGGGTTCAAATCTGGCCTTAGACGCTTAGCAGCTGTGTGACCCTGGGCAAGTCACTTAGCCCTGTTTGCTTCAGTTTCTTCATCTGTAAAATGAGCTGGAGAAGGAAATGGCAAACCACTTCCATATCTTTGCTAAGAAAACCCCAAATGGAGTCAGAAAGAGTTGGACATAACTGAAAATGACTGAACAATGACAACAACAAAAGTGATGGGCACTCACCACCTCCTGAATCAGCCCATTTCACTTTTGGTAGGTCTAGTTTTGGGAAGTTTTTTTTTTCCTGGGTTGTTTGTTTTTGTTTTCAGTCTGGACCTGGCATTTCATTAGCATGGGCAATCCTGAATCAATGTTGTATCTTTAACTTATAGCCTTAGAAAGGTGTCTGAGATACTGAGAAATTAAGTGACTTACCCAGTCATACAGCTAGTATGTATTAGATACAAGGCTTGAACTTACTCCAATGCCGGCCTTCTATTCACTGTGCTAAACAGCCTCTAGGGTAGAACTGAAGTTTTGAAGGTCTGATGATTTTTATAAACTATTTGCAAAAAAGAATTAGAAATTGAGGGGATGCCCATCTGTTGGGGAATGGCTGAACAAGTTACAGTATATGAATGTAATGGAACACTATTGTGCTATAAGAAATGATGAGTAGGCAGATTTCAGAAAAACCTGGAAAGATTTCTATGAACTGGTGAAAAGTGAAATGAGAAGAACCAGGACACAGTAACAGAAACATTGTACAATGATCATCCATGACTGACTTCTCAGCTTTTCTCAGCAATACAATAATCCAAGACAATTCCAAAGGACTCGCGATGGAAAATGCTATCCACATCCAGAGAAAGAACTGATGGAGTCTGAATGAAGATGGAAGCATGCTATTTTCACTTTTTAAATTTTTATGTGTGTTTTTTCCTTTTGGTTTGTTTCTACTTTCACAACATGACTGATATGAAAATATGTTTTACATGATTTCACATATATACCCTATATTAAATTGCTTATCATTTTAGGGAGGGGAAAGAAGAAGGGAGAAAAATTTGGGACTCAAAATTTTTAAAGATGAATGCTAAAAATTGTCTTTACGTGTAATTGGAAAAAAAATAATATACGATTTAAAAAATAAACTATTTGAAAGGTGCTACATAACTACGATTTCTCAAGTAGTCTTGGGGCTCAAAAAGGCAGGTCTGATCCTTAACAGTTGTGTCTCTCCTAGACATCATTCAACTGGTAGTTGATGCCCTTTTTCTTTTGGCCCAAGAACCGAGATATTAGGTTTCTCAGTCTGTCACTGGGACTTCCTGATATTGAACAAAGACACAATCCTTCCCAAACCCATTTCTGTTTGCTTTTTTTCATTTGTAGTAAAGCAGATACACTTTCCATGTTTTTCTTCTAGAAATCTGAGACTGGGCAAACAAGGAGGTGGTAATGTTCCCTCGTCTGAACAATACAAAGCCCTGTTGTGCTCTGTGGCTGCCAGTAAGCATACTTTTTTGTCTGAGTTCAGTCATCACTAGATATTGGAATGTGAGCCCTGATTTTTATTTTCTTTTTAAAAAGTTTATTGAGACAAAACAGAACTAGAACTAGAACTTTTCTTGGAAAAAGAAGCAACAAAAGAGAGGGGATGTGGGGAGAAGTCTTGTTCTCCTTCCAAATAGAGAACCAGATTACCCCCATTCAAGTAGATGGTTCTATAATGAAATTATAGTCTTAGGGATTGGAGGGAGTAAGGCAGCAAAGGATATCAGGGTTCTTCCTTTGTTGGCACCTTTTGTAGGTGAAAGTTCTCTTATTTGTCTGTTATAACTACCGTTCAACAATAGGCTAATGTTCAACATTGGCCTTCATGGTTAACGTTCAATGTATTTACCTCCCCTCCCATCGTATGATCTCAAATGTACAAGTACAGTCCCTCTATGCCTTGTCTATGTGATTCATGTCTACTTTCCTTCATTCTTCTTTTATATGCTCACAGGAAGCTTGAAAATGGTTTCAAATATGGCGGAGCTGGGATTGTGTGGCCTTATTAGTAGCCATCCCCTCAAGAAGCCACTTGGCCTAGGGTTTTATTATCCAGCATTAGGGATTCCACTGACACTGATGGAAAATCTATTGGGCAAAGTGAAGAGTCTGTGTGTCAATATGCAAGACTGGGAAACCTAAGGAAACCCATTTCTGCAACGTCTGGATTTCATCCCCTGTAAGTCCATCTGGGTGAATTTGTGGGCCTTCTTCTGGTCCGGAGTCTCTGCCATTGTTTTAAAGGAGATGGTCTGGGGTCAGCATTCTCAGGAAAGAAAGTTTTTTTGGAAAGATGAGATAGTATGTATCTGTCTAGGGAAACTGAAGGTTTTCTGAGGAGGAAGTGACACAATCCAGTTATGTGCTTTAGGTAGATTTGTCTGATAGCAGGTAGGCGGGATGAATTAAATTCATTCCCTTAAATTCCTTGGCATGTAGTAGGTGCTTAATCAATGTTTGTTGACCTAAATTGAGACACTGGAGGCAGTAAGACCAGTTAGGGACTATTGAACCAATAGCAGCAAGAGGTGCCTTATAGTATTTTATAAAGCAGTAATCATCAAATTGATTTGATATTGGTTAAATGTTTTTTTGTTTTTGTTTTTGCTTTTTTGGTGAGGCAATCGGGGTTAAGTGGCTTGCCCAGGGTCACACAGCTGGTAAGTGTCATGTGTCTGAGACTGGATTTGAACTCACATCCTTCTGACACCAAGGCCAGAGCTCTATCAACTGTACCACCTAGCTGCCCCTTAAATGTGTTTTTTTTTAATGAATTTCAATGTAACGGAATAGATAAGCAAGAAATAGAAGTAATAAAAATTGTAGCTTCAGTGCTTGATGAATTACTGGGGGAAGGACTCACTTTTTAACAAGAACTGTTGGCAAATTTAGGATGCACTTTGGCAGAAATTAGACCAGGATCTTATATCAAGTGCCATAATAAGTTCAAACATAGATGTGGGACTAGAATAAAAAAGGTCACATGAAAAATTAGAAGAGAGAAGATGCATCCTTCATAGCTGTGGCTGGAGATGGGGGGGAGGTGGGGGACAATGCTTAGCCAAGCAAGAGATAGAGGAAAGCATGAAAGACAAAATGGGCAATACTGAATATATACAAAAAGCTTTTTTTGTGAACAAAATAATTGAAAATGGAATAAGAAAAGAAATTTGTATTATTTGTAACAAATGTCACTGATAAAAGTCTGATATCCATGTTATATAGGGAATCCATGCAAAAATATAATACCAAAAGCCATTTTACGTAGACAAGTGAACAAAGGATGTGAGCAAAAGCTATTTGAAAGCTTTATAAATGATCGTTCCAAATCACTGACAGTAAGAGAAACACATCACACACACTGAAAATTGGCAAAGAGGACAATGGGAACAGTCATTGTTGTAGGGACTGTGAGAAAATAGTATGTCTGCAGTACTGAAGACATGCTGATATACTGTTAGCGGTGCTGTGAGAGCAATTTGGAATTATGCCAGAAAAGTAACTAATCTATCTATACTGTTGAATTGGGCATATACCACCCCGAAGGAAATAAAAGACAGAAAGAAAGGTCTATTATACAACCGTGATTTTTTTCAGTAGCAAAGAACTGCAGAAGGGGTGCCCATTGATTGGGGAATGACAAAAACCAAAACCCTATGGTATAAAAATATAATGGAATACTAATGCGCAATATGAAATTATGAATATGAATCTTTAGAAAAATGTGGGATGATTTGTAAGAACTGAGGTAAAGTGAAATGAATAGAACCACATAAAAACAATAAAATGACATAGAAAACAAATACAATAAACAGTTATAAATGATGTCGTAAACAATGACTACAGCAACTTAAATGAAAAGATCACTAAAAGGAAGCTAAATTTTGCATACAGTGGGCTGAACCAGGCTCAGGCCAGTATTCTGGTGATTTAGGTCTGATATAGGAATGAAATGAAATTTGCATTAGTCATCCAGCTAGGTAGCGAAGTGGATAGAGTGCTAGACCTGGAGTTCAGATTTCATCTCAGACCCTCACTAGCCATGGAACCCTGGACAAATCATTTAAATTCTCTGTGCCTTCGTTTCCTCATCTATAAAATGAAGATAATAATAGCACCTATCTCCTCATCATGTTTGTAAAGTGTTTTGCAATTCTTAAAATGCTATATAAAAGTTTTCATCATCATTATTACCATTATTACTGTTATTCAGCCATAGTTCATAAAAAGGATAGCATGGCATGGAAAGAATACTAATATAGCTCCTTGCTTAGATAGATCTCTCTGATCTCCATATGGAAACATATGCAGGGTTGGGTAAGGTGCCTTTTGCTGGGCTTGGTACATCTGCCAAACCTGAAGGACCGTATCTCCCCGTGAGCCTTTTTATGACATCAGATAATCAGGAAGCCATAGTCAACACTGCTTGAGGCCATTAGGAAAGTACACATCAACAGTTAGGTGGCTTTAACCTTACTTAAACTCTCTCAGCCCACCCTTAGGGACAGTGTCCTTGGCCTTTAGGAAAGAGACTAACCCGAAGAAGGAGGAGAGGAAATCTGGCCTATCAACACTGAGTAATTAAACAATAAATGATAGTCCCAGAGAACAGATAATGAAATCTGTCTCCTAGCTCGTGGTACCTGGTCATTGTATCAAGTATTTTTACTTGCTTTACTTTATTATAAGGCAAGGATTTTTTTTTCTCCTCAGAAATGACTGGGGCATAACTACAAAAGCCATCAAGAAAACATGTTTCAAAACAAATAGACTAATTGGAAGAAAAAAAGAGTTAATGAGAACCCGAACTCACATAATAAATCCAGCACCTAGAATGACGGGCTTGTTTAACAAGTCTGCCTCCCACATACAACACGTAGCTGCCAACCAATACTTTGTCACAACTCATACAGAATTTATTATCTGCCACTCTGTGCTAGGTGCTCAATGCTAGGCCCGGAGATGACCAAAAATTTTTTTAAAAAGTGAACTACAAAGACAAAAATGAAATCACTCCCTGCCCTCAAGGAGTTTGCATTCTATCTGAGAAATAATAAAATACATACAAAGTAATTTGAAGACCAGTGCTTCTTAGAGTGGGAAATTGGGGTCAGAGGAAGATAGTACATGAACATTCCAGTGGGAATTTTGACCTTTCTGTGTTCTACAGGCTCCTCTAATTACAAATGTAGCTTACTTAAGACTTTAGGACCATTGCCTTTCTGATCTCTATCTCCATATCACTTACATGTCAGGCTTGTTTAATTATCAACCAACCACCTGCTTTATTCCAGCAGTTTTTAAACATTTTGGCGTCAGAACCCATTGAAATATCTGGGGGATGTCTAGTAGTCTACTGACCACACTTTGAGAACTGCTGCTTTGAGATTCCCAACAACTGCCATTCTGAAGGGTATCTGAATCCCAGTGATTCTTGGGACTTATTCAAGGTATAGATAGATGGAAGTATCCCATAGAAAAGCTTCAGACACAAAGGAGAAGAAAGTAGGTAGAGACTCAATGGTTTCAGGTGCCATTGATGATCTCCACTGGACATGGAAACCAGGATTAAAGGTGGAGTCGTGCAGCCTGTCCAACATGGAAGCCCTGAGAAGCCAGTGTCTGGAGACTAGGAGGAAGTCAGCCGAAAGAAAAATGAAGTGTCCATTTATCAGGTATTGCCTTGTGTCAGAAGCAGAAGTAAACAAAAGAGGATGGAAGCAGGGTCTTTAATATTAAACAATTTCAATGTCAAAAAAAACCCCAACTGTGTTATGGAAATGCTTGTTTTATTTCTTAAATTCTGAATAAAATAAATTTTTAAAAAAAGAATTACCACTATAAGTTCATCTTCTTTGCTATGTTAAATTGTCATATCTGTATAACTCTGCTCTGACCTTCCTTTTCTTTTTTTTTTTTTTTGCTTTTTGGTGAGGCAATCAGGGTTAAGTGACTTGCCCAGGGTCACACAGGTAGTGTCAAGTGTCTGGTTTGAGACCAGATTTGAACTCAGGTCCTCCTGACTCCAGGCCTGGTGCTATATCCACTGCGCCATCTAGCTGCTCCCTTCCTTTTCATTTTTGTCTTTGCATTAAGCACCTAGCATAGTAGCTTAATAAGTATTTGTTGAATTTAATTTTTGAATTATACCACTATCTGTCCTTTGGTTGGCCCTTCTCATTGAGCCCTACAGAATTGCTATTCTGGACTGAGCAAATGCCTCTACATCTTGGACTCTCATTATGAATCCTCCTGCTTCATAGATCATGAGATCATAGATTTAGAATGTGGAAGGCTATTAGAGACCATTGAGTTCAACCTCCTTATTTTACATATAAGGAAACTAAGGCCCACTGAGTTTCAATGAGGGAGAACTCAGTGCCTCCTGAAGCAGCCGGCCCAATCTTCTTTCAGATGGTTCTAATGGCTAGAAAGATTTTCTTTACCTAAAATCTAAAAGTTACTAATATTATTCTTCTGGTAGGCCTCTTAGTTACACGCTGGTCCATCAGTAATCAATAAGCATTTATTCAATGTCTGCTATGAGCTAGACGCTCATGGAACTTGAACATGCTGGTGGATAACCTGGTGTGGCTGCCAGCTCAGGTGTAGACACTCACGTCTATAATGATTCTGATGGTCAGCTTATAGCAACTACTAGGTCTGGCATAGGAGCAAAGAGATCAGTCAGTGACAGGAGAACTAGGCCTATTAGACCAGTCACCAGTCTAAGTCGTGATGTTACAAGTAAACTTGAAAACATAGTCAGATATGTCGCCATGCAACCATAATAAAGAATGCCCATGTGAAATGTGCCTCTCATGTAATTGAATGTATTTACTGCTGTACATGTGAATTACTGTGTGTTTGAATATGCTTATTTTTTATTTTGCTGGTATGTCCATTTGACTATGTTTTGTGTTATTTTAATGTGATAGAAGTGTCTATTTGTTGATTGTTTTGCGTACAGTATATACTAATGCTTATCGACGTATTTTATATATTGGTGTATTGATAGTGTTATTGTAGTTAGCTAGCTTTGCTTTGTAGGTTAACCATGCTATTGCTTTTGATTGATTGCTCTATACAACAGATATACATGTGATTTCAAAATATATGTGTTATATGTCCTATATGTAGTTAGTTATACTGTTACTGTAGTACATTCACAAGTGATGATTTATATAGTGCCATGCTTATTGCATGAATAGTTAATGTGCATTTGTTTTATTTCAGTTTCAAAGATATTGATGGTTGGTTATTTGAGATGAGAGGAAAATCAGCCTTACTGTTTTAAAGTGCTAATGTTTATGTTTATATCTTAAACTTACAGGTTTTAGGCTTGCTCCAGCTGATCTTTGCAAGGGACTACAAAGAGTTTTGGCCCAAGGGAGGAATGTAACCCTAGTCCCAAAGCTCAATGGTATAGGCCTCTCTTCTTATTGATGGAAATGTCCCTCATTCAGGGCAAGGCAGGGTAGAATTTGTGAGAACAGGAGAACTTTAGCTTTCTTCAGTCTTCTTCAGGTTTTGAGTTGCTTAGGGTCCTGCGGTTTTCTCAGCTTCGAGAAGGAAGTTGGAAGGGGTCAACTCCGCACATCAGGTTGCTGAAGGAAAAGACTCTAGGAAGAAGTTGACATGAGAGGAGCTGGCAGTCTTCATCATGTTCCTATCTCCAACTTGCTACATGGAGATCTTGGGGAACTTCCCTTTGGGGTGAGATCTAGGAATCTCTCTCTCTCTCTCTGTCTCTCTCTCTCCCTCCCTCCCTCCTTCCCTTCCTCCCTCTTTCTCTCTCTGTGTCTCTCTGTCTGTGTCTCTGTCTTTCTGTCTCTCTGTCTGTCTCTGTCTCTCTGTCTCTGTCTCTGTCTCTCCCTCCCCCCTCTCCTCTCTCTCTCTCTCTCTCTCTTTCTCTCTCACTTGAGCTATCTTGCTTCCAATGGGAGAGCTCTTTTATTCCGTATTGTCAGGCATATATTCACTTAAATCATCTCTAATTTCTGTTTTGCTACTATTGGTTAAATAAATTTATTAGCTAATTGCTATACGTATTCATTGTGGAACTGGTATTTGGTGGGAAAGGGGTCAAATATTAGATGTAAAGCTTAGGTCCTTGCTTCCCCCCAATAATGAAACAGCAATGGGGGCAATCTGTAAATGTCTATAATATAAAAATAAAACATAACAATGAAACTTTACAAAAATTACAATAATGCAAATGCATTTATCCTACACATTGTTTCATTAATTAGTTCTTCAGTAAATTTAAATGATTCACTAGTTATTGGAAAACATTCCTAAGATCACAGATTTAGAGCTGGAAGGGCAATATTATAGATTAAGTAACTAGCTGAAGGTTACACAAAAGTGCTCAACTTACTTACAGTGGAGTAGCTTATTCATCAAGAGAATGTGACTCAAAACTTAATCAGCGTTCATCAGGGATATAGTAGTATGCCTGCATTTAGGGACATTTTCACCTTGAGCTATCCTATAAATGGGAATAGAGAAAGGAAAACAGAGAAGGAAGTTTTCAATCAATCAACATTTATTAAGTGCTTACTATGTGCTGGACCTTTTGATAAGTGCTGGGTACACAAAAAGAGCCTTTGTCCTCAGTTTTTAGGTTTAAGGAAATAAGTTAAATGAGAGAGGACCACGGAAGGATGTTTATGCATGTGAGAAAGATTGCCCGAGTTGGGCTTATTGACTTGTGAGCAATGGGTGAAATAAAAAAGGTCTTTCCTCCCTCTGTGGGAAAGGAAGTAATGGAAAGACTTTGGATCAGATATTCACCATGCCAACCACCAGGCCGTGGTATCAGTCCAGGAAAGTTTGTTCTTCAGTTAATGTTAAGGAGGTGGGGTGGGGCAGGAAGGAGACTTTTTTTTGTTTTTGGTGGTGGTGGGGGTGTGTGTGTGTGTGTGTGTGTGTGTGTGTGTGTACTCGAGCTTGCGTGTGAAAATAGCTATTCACATGTACAGAATATTAATAGATTGGTTGTAATTTGGGGAGTAACTATTTGGCTAATTAAAAAGAAATACTTTTTAATGATTATATTATTGTAGAAAATTAATATAGTTTAGGCGCTATTCATTGGTGTGAATTATATTTAGTCTGTGCCTCAATCAGAGAAGAGTAGCATTTTACTTGGTGGAAAAAACCTCGCTTATTCACAGATCCACATTCATCATACAGTAATTAGGAGAGACTTGGGCTTTAAGAAGGAATGGAACAAAAAAAAATTTTTAAGTGTCAATCTTTTCATGATCAATAATGACTTTTTTTAATATGGCAAATATAAGACAAGGCACAGCTAGAACTAGTGGCAAGCAAGGTAGATTTTGCCTGTGGTGGAATTTGCAAAGAGGCATAAAGACCCCTGTTAATATTTTCTTCTGAACGTACAATCTTAATTTCTGAAAATTCTGTTTTTCATTGCATGTAGATATTTATTTTGTGGCAAGTCCATTATGTTTGTTGCAATGGAAACTCAAAGCATCCAGTGAGACCTAAAAAAACCCAATGTGATCTTGGCCTACATTGAATAGTAATGAGTGCTAGAGTATTCTGCCCAGGTTAGGCCATATGTGGAATATTGTGTTTAGTTCTGAGCAACACAACTTAGGAAGAAAACTGAAAAACTGAAGAATGTCCAGATGACAGCAACCAGGATGGAGGTCCTTGGGATGCCACATGAGGATTGGTTGAAGAAATTCGGTTTGTTTAAATTGGAGAAGAAAAGACTCAGAGGGATTATGTTTGCTATCTTTAAGGCCTATAGCATGAAAGAAGGATTAGACTTGTTTTGTTTGGCCCAAGAGCTCAGAAGGCTGGATGAAAGTAGCAAGGAGGGAAATGTAGGCTTGATGTTCAGATGTGGAATGGGCTACCTCAGGAGGCAGTGGGTATCCCTTCGATGGAGGTCTTCAGGCAAAGGCTAGGTGATCATTTGTCAGGTATGTTATTGGAGATTCTTTGGGAGGCATAGGTTGAACTGCATGATCACTGACCCTATCAGCTCTGAAATTCCATGATTCTGTAATGATAACGTTCCAGGGACACAATGTTTTAATGCCGCCTAAAGCACACAAATGTTTTCTTCTAGCTCTGCTATGAGCGGAATATTTTCGCTTGATGTGAAATATATAGTTAGGGGTAAGGGAACAGGAACTGGGCAAAGGACAATCTGATCCTCAGGGGATGCCTAGGATGGAGAAAAATCCACTTGCCCTGGGAGAATTGAGGGCTGGGAGACAGGTAGGGACACCACAGCAAGAGAACCCTGGGTGGTCTGGGCTCTGCTAATAATTCAGTAGATAAAATGAATGATCCTCTGAAGAAGAAAATATGTTTGTGCTCAGACTAGTGGAGTATCATAAGATGAATCCTAGGGACAGTGGTCTTAGTGGGAAGGAAGTGTACTGCTTCTTCCTCTCCCCGTTCCATTAACTGCAAACCTGAGGCAAAGTCCCTTTTATCCCATGCTTAGTTGTGACCCGGGCCATTGGATCTCTATGCCCTAAGAGATAATCGGATCTCAATTAATCCCTCAATCAACAAGCATTTATTAAGTACTTACTAAGTGTTCAAGGCAGCATGGCATAGTGGAAAGAGTGATGGCTTTGAATGAATGAATGAATGAATGAGTGAAGCATTTATTAAGTGCTTACTATGAGCAATGCACTCTGCTCACAAGCACTGGGGGGCAGAAAAACGACAATACCTCAATTTGATTCTCAGAAACTCACATTCTTTTTTTCTCTCTCATAGCTAATGTTTTAATATGCAATTAGAGGCTCAAACTTCATCCCATGGCATCTATAATAGTGAAACAAAAACAAACAAAAATATAGCCCTCCAAACACACACATATCCTTCCGCTCCCCACCCCCCCCACCAGATAAACAAACCCACAGGCAGAGGGAACAGAAGGCAGGTTAAGCCAGGCAGGGGAGTTTAAGCATCAGCACCTCCTCAGGCCTCTGGCCCAGCTTGTGTGGTTTAGCATGATCCCTTCCTGGGATCTCCTTTGTGAGCTCAGTATCTAGGCTGTTCTCTCAAGCAGCTCCAGCTTCTGTCTGTCTGACAGAGGGGGCATCTTCAGCACTGCTTGCTGGCTTGTGGAGCCCAGGTTGAGGACTACAAGGAGTTCTGGTTCTAGAGGCACACAGTGGTAAACAGGTCATCCTCTGTGGGCAGGTCCACGAGGTCTCCATGCAGCAAGGACCAAGTAGCTCACATCATAACGAAGGAGACCACACATATTAAAGGTTTCAGCTGCTGCAAGACAGATGGAAAGATTCCATGCAGCAAGAAAGTGTTTCTTTTTGCTAAATTTTTACTGAAAAATTCACATCTGTTTCTGATGTTGAAACTTGGAACAGTGCTGAGGACTTGAGTGTCAAGAACCTTATTTTGTGAGATTTCAGTAGGATGACTGATGCTGAGGTGGGGGCTATATCACCTGTCTGAGAGGTTGCCACATCACATTTCCAAGGGGATTAATTCTTGGATGATAGTTCTGGAAGCTGAGATGGAAGTAAAACTGCTTGTCTTCGGTCTATGGTAGTGGCTTGGCTCTTCTGGAATTCATGTACTTCTGTTTATCCTTCAGGGTGCCTAGCTCCTTCAGTTAGTCTGCCTTGCTCTGTTGAGGGTAGTTAGTGGAGATGGATAGGATGGATGAGCTCATACTCCACAGGAGCTGTTTTTCCAGATAACGGCTGCAGGGGCTGGCCTGGAAATAGGACCAGAAGAGGGGGGAGGGGCAGTGGTGGTATTACTGCTGCTGTTGCTATTCCCAGGTTCCTTGGGCTTACCTGCCCACGGGTAGCAGTTGGTTAGCAGTTGGTGCTGGGAGCAGTAAGAATGGTGGGTCCCTTCTTCACTGGGATAGCTCCCTTCAAGGATGGGTGGAGGCTAATGAGGTTGGAAGCAGAGCTGGTGGTCTGCTGGGGTGGAACATGGCTATTTCCATGGCTTTGGGGCTCACGGTCCTGGGCTGTTGCCATCTTGTTTGAAAGGATGTGGCGGTTGAAGTGATAAGGGCAATTTGAGTTGCTCACCACCTCCTGTCTCTTCCTCAGGTTGTTTTTCTGAGTTCAAATCTTGACTCTGAACCCTATCTCTGGTCTAATCACTTAACCCCTTAGTGCCCCAGGCAGCTTTTTAAGACAATACATTGCAGAGCAGGTAGTGGCCTAAGTCTAGGGCATTTCCTTGTCTGCAGTTCTCTATACCATGAAATCATCGGTCTAGTGCTCCCCCCACCCCAAAATGTTCCAGGCAATAGGGATATAAAAACAAAAATGAGACAATCCGGACCCTCAAGGAACTCGCTTTGCACAAGAGTAGAGTAGCATGTTATACATAGAGGACATATAGAAAGTAAATCTTTGGTGATTTGGGGAGTGGGGAGTACACACTGACAACGGCTGGAATCAGAAAAGGCTTCTTGAAGGAGGTGATGCTTGAGCTAAGCCTCCAAGTGAGCAAGGGCTTCCAAGAGGCTGCGGTGAGGAGTGTGAGAAGAGAATAATAGAAAGCAAAGCGTAGAGACGACGTAGATGTCACAGCACAACATACGCAAGAGATGTAGACCAAAAAGTCTTAGTGAAGTTTTAAGCTGCCAAAGCTATCCCAAGCCTGAGGTTCCTCAAGATCCATTTGGCCTAGCTGTGCAGAAATGTATACCAGAAAGGATAGCTCCAATTCTGTCTTTGTGGCCTTAAATAGACCTGGGAGGAGTTAGCATTCCATCTGCGGTTACCTTTCAAGTAGCTATCCCCCCGAAACACACAGACACACACAGACACACACACACACACACACACACACACACACACGCACACACACGCACACGCGCGCGCGCACACACACACACACACACACACACACACACACACACACCCCCAACCTTGTATCCTTATAATCTTTTGACATTAAGAAAACATTCCAAACTAGTACAGTATCTTATCCTGTCAACTGATTTCTGGATTTTTGGCTACCTTGAAAAGAAGTCTATGCATACCAGTCTGCCAGGGTTTGACTGAAACCCTGGGTGGAAAGTTCCAGGAATGACACCTTAAGATTTTAGCATGAAGTTGTGAGAGGGAGTGCCTAAAGGCATAGCTCTATCTTATGGGAGGATATACATAGAACTTGTGGGGCTTGCCAGAAAGCATGGGTGTAGAAAAATAAGGGCTCCACCTAAAACCCAGGCCTGCAATCAAAGGCAGTTAAAAAAACTTTTCTCAGCAGAGTGTGAGATTGCACCAGTATTGCAGGAAATGACTTCAGAGCTTCACACTGGATCACAAGCTAAGTGCATCTGTCAGCAGTGTAGACACTAGTGAATACTGAGGAACAGACAGTGGGACATAGTGGGAACCCAGAGGTGACTTTTTAGACAATTAGCCCTTGTCAGATACTGTGGGGAACTTATCTGGTACTCTGTGACTAAAGTTTATAAAGTACT